ATTTAAACTGATAGTTTTAGGCCATGGGGATGCAATAAAAAAATAATTCTGCATAGGCATGGGGCAACCTCGGCGTAGTGGTAAACATCCATACCTCTCACGCCAAAGTCACGAGTTCAAATCTCACCCCCGGACAAGTCACGAATGACCCAAGAGTGTTAAAGTGACTATAATAAAAAAAATTCTGCATAAAAACCTTGTGTGTTGATTCTTGTGGTTTGCTTTCAAACAAGCAATTAAAAAAATCCTTGATGTCACTTGAGAGCTAAATTAAACCCCCAATCATCTGTGTACTTAAAAAAAAACTCATTAAAATACGTCAATTGAATGCGCCCAAGTTTTCATTTCATCAAATTTAATTAAAACTTGTTGGTATGCAAGTCGTAAGCGTTTTTTGGCTGCTAATTTTGGTTTCATAGAACGATTTGAATTATTACTGGCATAGTAAGGCTAATAGTTTGCTCTTAAAATATATTTCTCACTGTAAAGTAGCTGACAGCGTACATTTTGTTCAGATCATGTACCCAGGTTTGACTCCCTTACCTTAACACCTCCTTCCTCAGCTGTCTGTCCCTTGTTACGTTTTAAGAAAAATCTTCTGTGTTCAACTCATGTTCACTTATAACACACACTTAAGATGCATCAGTTGATTATTGCAATCTTTATTCTATTACCTACATGGAGCCAGTCCAACCAGTTTGAGCAGTAATAATTTTCTTATTTCATGTTCCATTGTCTATAACTTTGAAACGATGTCAGGCTTTTGTTAAAGGCAAGAGCCTTTGTATTGCTTCTGTGTATATTCCTCCCCGAGTTTCGATTAGTCAAAAACAACTTTCAGATATCTGTTCAGTTCTTCCTACTCCACGGTTGATTATGGGAGATTTTAATTCCCACGGTACAGGCTGGGGGGAACTGTATGATGACAACCGTTCTACTTTGATATATGACCTCTGTGATAACTTCAATATGACAATTCTTAACAATGGAGAAGTAACACGTCTGGCTGGTCCATCCTCAAATGGAAGTAGATTAGACCTCACACTTTGCTCTAATTCATTATCGTTGGATTGCACGTGGAATGTGATCCAGGATCCCCACGGTAGTGATCACTTGTCGATCGGCATTTCGATTGCCAGTGGGTTCAATTCGTCGGAATCCGTTAACGTCGCGTACGACCTCACCCGTAATATCGATTGGACAACGTTCAAGACCGCGATAGATGAAGCCGTGTCGTTGGTCGAAGAGCTTCCACCGTTTGAGGAATATAACTTCCTCTCCAATCTGATCTTGGACAGCGCGCGTCGAGCTCAAACTCGGCCGGCTCCAGGAACGTCTTTTCGTAGGAAACCTCCTACCCCTTGGTGGGACCAGCAATGCACTGAGGTTTATCGTAAAAAGTCCGACGCGTTCAAGCTTTTCCGGAAACGCGGAACACCCGAGTATTTCGAAGCGTACTCGACTCTTGAACACGAACTCAAGAGCCTCATCAAAGCCAAGAAACGCGGATACTGGCGGCAATTCGTGGACGGTTTATCGCGCGAAACGTCGATGAATACGCTTTGGAACACGGCGCGAAGGATGCGTAACCGGTCTTCAAACAACGAGAGCGAGGAGTACTCGGATCGGTGGATTCTCAAGTTCGCGCGAAAAGTATGTCCTGATTCCGTGCCGGCACAGATGATTCCTCGCGAAACGACGAATTCGGTAGACGAGATCAGCCAGCCTTTTTCAATGCTGGAGCTCTCACTCGCGCTCCTTTCGTGTCGCAATTCGGCTCCGGGGGCTGATAGGATCAAGTTCGACTTGTTGAAGAACCTCCCAGACGTCGCTAAGAGGCGCATGTTGAACTTGTTTTGTCAGTTCCTGGAGTTCAATATTGTTCCAGATGATTGGAGGCGAGTGAGAGTTATAGCCATTAAAAAGCCTGGAAAACCCGCGTCAGATCATAACTCGTATCGTCCCATCGCGATGTTATCGTGCATTCGAAAATTATTGGAGAAAATGATCCTTTTTCGCCTCGACAAATGGGTTGAGACGAACCACCTACTCTCAGATACTCAATTTGGTTTCCGTAGGGGTAAGGGAACGAACGACTGTCTCGCGTTGTTTTCCACAGAAATCCAGTTGGCTTTTGCTAAAAAAGAGCAAATGGCTTCTGTGTTCTTGGATATTAAGGGGGCTTTTGATTCAGTATCGGTTGAAGTCCTTTCAGACAAACTCCACGCTTGTGGCCTTTCCCCATTCATTAATAACTTTTTGTACAATTTGCTGTCAGAGAAACATATGAGCTTTTCTCATGGAAACTCTACAGCTTCTCGATTTAGTTACATGGGTCTCCCCCAGGGCTCATGTTTAAGCGTCCTTTTGTACAATTTCTATGTCAGAGAAATTGACAATTGTCTAAGTGACAACTGCACGTTGAGACAACTTGCAGATGATGGCGTAGTGTCTATGACAGGGCCCAAAGGGGTCAACCTGCAAGGACCCTTACAGGATACCTTAGACAATTTGTCTACTTGGGCTATCCAGCTAAGTATCGAATTCTCCACGGAGAAAACTGAGTTGGTCGTTTTTTTCTAGGAAGCATAGCCCAGCACAACCGAAGCTTCAACTTTTGGGTAAGCCGATCACTCATTCCATGTCTTTCAAATATCTTGGGGTTTGGTTCGATTCCAAATGCACCTGGAGATCCCACATTGAGTATCTGAGACGAAAATGCCAACAAAGGATCAATTTTCTCCGAACAATTACCGGAACGTGGTGGGGAGCTCATCCGCAAGATCTTCTAACGTTGTACCGGACAACGATTTTATCGGTTTTAGAATACGGTAGTTTTTGCTTCCAGTCGGCGGCTAAAACTCACATCATCAAACTGGAACGTATCCAGTATCGTTGTCTTCGTATCGCGTTAGGATGCATGCACTCGACTCATACGATGAGTCTCGAAGTGTTGGCGGGCATGTTGCCACTATCGGATCGGTTTTCGGAATTGTCCCTCAGGCTCCTCACCCGTTGTGAAGTTATGAACCCACTGGTAATCGAAAACTTTGAGAAGCTTCTTGAGCTAAACCCTCAAACTCGTTTTATGTCATTGTACTACGTGTACATAACTCAGGATGTCAGCCCTTCACAGCATAATCCCCATCGTGTATGCTTCTCCGACTTCGGCAATTCAGTTAGTTTTGATTTATCTATGTCGCAAGAGATTCGCGGAATCCCAGAACATCATCGTTCCATGATTGTTCCGTCAATTTACGCTGCAAAGTTTGGCCAAGTTGATTCCGCAAGATCGTTCTTCACAGATGGATCACTAATAGAGTCGTCCGCTGGTTTTGGTATTTTTAACGAATTTCATAGCGCCTCTCGAATGCTTCAAGCTCCTTGTTCGGTATATGTTGCTGAACTGGCGGCAATACACTATACGCTAGAAACGATCGCCTCACTTGCACCAGATCACTATTTCATTTTTACGGATAGTCTCAGTTCTGTCGAGGCTATTCGATCCATGAGGCCGGTAAAGCACTCCTTCTGAGTGCTTTATCTTTAAGATCTTTTGTCATCACCTTTGCATGGGTCCCATCTCATTGCTCGATTCCGGGCAATGAGAAGGCGGACTTGCTTGCAAAGGTGGGCGCTATGCAAGGCGATATTTACGATCGACAAATCGCCTACAATGAATTTTTCTTCATTTATCGTCAACAGTCGCTCGCCAGCTGGCAAAATAAATGGAGTGAAGGAAGTTTGGGACGATGGCTATTCTCGATCATCCCTAAGGTGTCGAAGAGTCCTTGGTTCAAGGGGTTGGATGTGGGTCGAGACTTCATTCGTCTGATGTCTCGCCTCATGTCCAATCACTATTCGTTAAACGCTCACTTGTTTCGTGTTGAGCTGGGAGACAGCAATCTCTGTGAATGTGGACAAGGTTACCAAGACGCCGATCACATCCTTTGGTCTTGTGCTGAGCATCGTGGAGTCAGATCTGAGCTGTGCGATTCCCTTCGGGCTTGAGGTAGACAACCTAATGTTCCAGTTCGGGATATTTTGGCTAGACGCGATCTGGAGTTTATGAAACTCATATATGTTTACTTTAAGAATACTAAGATTGTAAGTTTGATTAACCTTGTGTTTAGTTTGTGTATTGTGCGTGTAGTTTTTTTTTAATGTTTGTTTTCAAGATGAATAGAAATAAGTTCATGTTTTAGGATTAATTAAATATTTGTATAATAAATCATATTTCAAACCTCCTTCTCCTTTTCCCCATCCAAAAAATTGTAAATCTCCACTAACCTCGAGACGACCGCGAGTAATCGGTTCAATTCCTTTAACTCTAGATTTAAGACATTAATCATGTATAATGCAAATGATAACTCGGCTCTGTAAAGTTTATTCGATTGAGCCTGTACAAATAAATTAATATAAAAAAAAAACTTTTAAACGCTTTGATTTTGATTAAATTTTCACCAGTTACTCAAAAAACAACGAACAAATTTCTCTCGAAATATTCTGGTTCCAATGGTACATTGAAACCTGCGTCCAAATTTACTTTTAATCAGACTTTATTTTTTATTTGAAAAGAAGTACTATATAATTCATGAAGTCAAATATGAAGTCTTATACGTTCCGCATCCGCAGGTTTCATTTTAAAATAAGCATCTTACAAAATATTGCGTACTATTCAAGATTTGATTCAAAAGTTCTAAAAAATATAGAAGGGTGACTGACTAAGTAAATAACATGAACGTCAATAAAGGATTCACGCAACAGTACCGCATATGACCAATCGAAAGAACGATAAAGTTCTAAATCTACCAACATTCTTTCCACCCGATACCATTCTCCATTAGCTTTTTCGTATACAACATATACCTCGACAGGCGAACGTGGAACAGAACAGCATTCAAACTGCAATCAATTCTATCGATTTTCAATTTCAACCCTCATCTCATTAGGTACGAGCCACTCATTCTTCTTCCTTTCTACTTGTTATCTCAACACAGGTACCTCAGCTCGTCGGAGCGCGCCGGTCTGGCAGCTTCCCTTCGGCTAACGGAGACGCAGGTGAAAATCTGGTTTCAGAATCGTCGCAACAAATGGAAACGGCAGCTGGCTGCCGAGCTGGAAGCAGCCAATATGGCGAACATGGCGCATGCGGCCCAACGACTGGTACGCGTGCCTGTCCTATACCATGAAGGGGCTGGCGGTGGGTTTGTCCCTCCTCCACCACATCCCCACTCTCAGCAATTGTACTACACGGCAGTATCGCGTGGCGGCAGCCCGCCAAGACCACCACTCTCATCTTTGGTGTAATATTGTGTTTCGAACATTGGTTCTACTATCGGCATCAGCAGAAATTGTGCTAGTAGTGGTAATAGTAGTTACAGTTGTACCGGTAGCAGCAAAAACTAGTACCAGTAGAATCAGTACTGAGTAATCCCTTGATAGAAACTAACTTCAGAGCTGAATCGCTTTGTGAAGCAATTTTAACGTTAAATAGAGAATGCCAAATAAAGCTGAAAAATATGATTTTTACCAAGGAGCAAAGAGACAGAAGTGATCCCTTGAGAATATTTAATAAATGTAAATAAAGTGCGGATAGGATCAGATACTAACAAATCGTATTTAGGTTCTAGGAGTAATTTGAAAATGAGCATATTTTAAAATTATTTGAATGCAATAAATCGCGCTCACACATGGTTTATCTGCCCCTAAAATGTACGATGTGTGTTTTTGAAGCATCCCACACTATTCTATTGAGGAAAATGGATCATACTTGTGAAATTGAGGATTCGTTTCATTCTATTCAAAGCATAACAAATAAAATATTTCGTAGAAGTCAACGCACATCAGCTAAATAAAAAAAAAGGTGTACTTCAAATTCTCTCAAATGGTATTTTTTTTCGCTGGAGCAGCAATGAGACGAATGCAAATATTTTTAATCTATTTTCAGTTATACGTTGATTTCTGTTTTTTGTTTTATAAAATATGTATTTTTGTTCACAATGAGTTTCCGGGATGATCTTTTTCATAAATATTTAATGCTGAGTATTGAAGAAGTGAATCATAGATGATCAGTTTTCTTCAATGGAATAGAGCAGAATGTTAAAAAAAACAGCCCATATTCAATTGGGGTGTAGAATACAATATAAAATATAAAATGTGAGTTTTGTAACGGAAAATATGTTCTCTACACTGGTTACAAGATAACCATAGATTTGTACAGCAGAAAACACCAAAGTACACTCCATTTTAATTTTTGATAAAATAAAAATAAAAGGACACAAGAGAAAAAAAACCTGAATAATTATGTATTTCAAGGTTTACTTATCAATTGGTCTCAATTCAGGATCCCAAAAATGAACGATAAAATACAAACTTTCCATCAACATGAAAAAAATCTTTCTGTTCATTTGAAAACTCAACCATAGCTACTTTTTCAAAAGATCAAACATTTGAGAGGATTGAACATTAAAAACAAAATCTCTCTGTGCTCCATGTACGTAGCCTAGTCGATAGGGGTTTTTAAGGAAGAGTGTACATAACAGGTTTTGTAAAGTTCCTAAGTATCCGATAGATCCTGTCAGTAGATGCTGTGTTTCATAAACCCTAGAAAAATAAGATGTAACTCTCCACGCTTTTCTTGAGAAGATTATTTTAAAAACATCAAATTATTGTAACGAAGTGATCGTGAATTTCCCAACGTTCTATTCGATAGCCATATTAGACGTAGATTTTCTTAATTCAACATTGACATTGTACAGTTTGTATAGAATATTGTTTTAAGCTTTTCAGTTGGATGTGTTTGTATATTTTTTATGAGACGTGCAGTACGGATAAGTAGACTAATGCTGAATTATCTAAACAACATAATGTAAACAGCAGCTGACGGCAGCTGGAAGTGCATCTTGGAAGTGACTGGTTTGATACCAGAAACTCGCTTCGTATGATAACGTATGGCGTATGCGAAATATACTATTCAAACCAATTGTTATATAAATCGTTACTGTGTATTTTATTAAGATGAGAACTCCGTCCAGATCTTCAAAACCGCAAAATTTGTAGGGATGAATCGACAATATATGTATGTATTCATGTATAAACAGTCCATATCCCACTGGCCGGCAGTGCTTTTATGGAAGAAACGTGAACATTTTGAAAGATACTAACATTTTTAGCTCTGGAGCTGGAAGCGTCCCATTTCAAGAATGACTGCTCATTAGGGTGCTTCATTCTGAAAAAAGTGATGAATTTCTGATGGGCCACCCTCCAGTTCGATTCATAGCCCCAAAATATGAACCTGTGCAAAAATTGGTAAAGATTGATGAAGGTTTAGAGGTCGCGCCAATGATTTGAAATTTGTATGGGAATTACTATGGAAGAATTTAAAAAATCGCTTATATCGCTATAACTTTGCTTCTACTTGTCCAAATGTCGAAAAAATTTAGTATGTTATTGCTATGGCAATAAACAAAAAGCCTACAGTTGCTACGCTCAGTTTTGCAGCGTATCAAGAATTATAAAAATGTGAAAAAATGGCAAAATAGGGTAAATTGACAGATGAATATGTACAAGGCAACAACGCCAATTTCATCGCAACAACAACAGGCTTGTTGATCATTGTCATGACAACCACATATTTTTTTTTTCAACGTTTGGACAACTACAACCAAAGTTAGAGCAATGTAAACGAAAATCAATAATTTCCCATACTAATTCACCAAAATCTCCATACAAAATCCAAATCATTGGCGCGACCTCTAAACCTTCATCAATCTTTACCATTTTTTGCACAGGTTCATATTTTGGGGCTATGAATCGAACTGGAGGGTGGCCTATCAAAAATTCATCACTTTTTTCAAAATGAAACACCCTACTGCTCATACACATGCATTTTGTGGCCACTCTCTCAAACACAAAAAGCCCCGCAAGCATACATTATCTTTGTCAGATGAATAATGTACGCACACTTCGGGATTCAAAAATAGGGTTTTTTCGAACCCATCGCGTATTTAGTAGTTGCAGTAAAAATCAGTTTTTGAGAGATCTAGAAACGTCTCACCAAATTTTATGAAACGACATACATGATGCAACAGATACTCTAATAATTAACTCTAACTAACTCTAAGCTCATTGTTATAGTAGAAGCACTGCGGTTCGGATCCATTCACACCTCATCATATGAATTCCCAGAAAAACATTCGATGGCTTGACAAATAAAAACGTTTCGAAATTTAACAATCGGAATATCGCGAATTAAATTAATAATTAAAATGAAAATTCTTCTGTTCACGGAGCAGTAATATTTACATTATTTGACAAATCTCAGGTTCTGGTGACAGCAGTCTCTTTTGTTCATGCATTATGTTTCCGATAATAAAATGTCATGATTACCTGATAGTTAAATACCCCACAATATGAGAATTTTTGCAATTGGAGTTACCTAACGGGACTGAAATCCATGTCTGACACCATTTTGATATCAAAGATGGCGGTTTCCGGTTTGTAAAAAGTGGGAAGTACTGTAATTTGTCGAACCTCTTAACGGAATCCCTTTATGAAGAGCTTTAAGTGTGTTGGTTTGTGGTCAGTGGTGTTGAGTACTTGGCACTGATGAAGTCTGCAAGTAGTAGACGAAAAACACGTATCTGTCAAAAGATAAGCAATTATAACGGAATTAAAAGGAAATAAACCAAAGTATTTTTCAGTTTTTTTTTTGCAAGCGGAAGCCACCATCTTGGATTTAAAAATGGCGTCAGAATTGGATTTCCGGTCCCTACACGTCACTCCGTTTCGAAAAATACCCATATTGTGGGGTATTTGGCAGAGTTTCCCAGTTTTTTACTAACTGGAAGCTAGATTTCAAAATGGCGTCAGACATGTATTTTCATGGATTAAATAAATACACATATTCTGGGGTATTTTACAGTTTCCCAGTATCGCAAAAAAAGCCTAAAGTACGAAAAAAAAAAAATACTTCGGAAAAAGAGGGACGAAACCTGAATACTGCGTAAAAAAGACTTCGTAAACGGAAGTTTTAGTGTACTACGTTATTGCTACAACTGATATTTGATAATATAGGCTACGACAAACTTTCACTGGAAATCATGATTTTTGATTCCAATATATATTTCGTTATATCAGCTATAGTTCCACACACTTGATTTAAAAATTGTTTTTCAGAATTATGAAACCATTAGATGTTATAATGATAATTCTTACTTGTAAGTTGCAAGAACAGGTCGTGAAGTATGTGTTTGACACATAAAATCTGTCAATATTGCTTTCAGTGCGTCACAATCAGCGATTTCACGATTTTCCAAACGAGGTCGGGGATTTGATCACTGTTATACAGTGGAATTGTCGAAGTCTCATTCCTTAATTAGACTCATTTTTAGTTCACAATAATGATTATGGTGCATTTGCTCTTAGCGAAGCTTGGCTTTCTTTTTATGATTTTAATATGACAACTCTTAACAATGGAGAAGTAACACGTTTGGCTGGCCCATCATCAAATGGAAGTGAGCGGTGCTGGTGGTGTAGTGGTAAGCGTGATTAACTCTCACCCCAGCAGGCCTGGGTTCAATTCCAGTCGGCGCCGCCGGGATGTTCTGAGGCATAACATCTCTGATCACGTCTTCCTTCGGAAGGAAAGAAAGGCCGTTGGTCTCCGGTTCATGAGTTTATGGGTCGATAGGTAGGGTCCAGGTGTGGGAGCTGCCTTCCTGGCGTCGGTAGCATTGGTGCACAGCACGGAAAACAAGATTGACGGAAAACAAACCAAAGGAAAAAAAAAAAATCAAATGGAAGTGGATTAGACCTCACACTTTGCTCTAATTCATTATCGTTGGATTGCACGTGGAATGTGATCCAAGATCCCCACGGTGTAGGGATCACTTGCCGATCAAAGTTTCAGTTGCCAGTGGGTTCAATCCGTCGGAACCCGTTAACGTCGCGTACGATCTTACCCGTAATATCGATTGGACAAAGTTCAAGACTGTGATCGATGAAGCCCTAACGTCGGTAGAAGGGCTTCCACCGTTGGAGGAATATAACTTCCTCTCCAATCTGATCATGGACAGCGCGCTTCAAGCTTAAACTCGGCCGGTTCCAGTAACGTCTTTCCGTAGAAAACCTCCTTCCCCTTGGTGGCACCAGGTTTATCGTAAAAACTCTGACGCGTTTAAGCTTTTCCGGAATCGTGGGACACCCGTACATTTCGAAGCATACTCGGCTCTTGAACGTGAGCTCATTAAAGCCAAGAAACGCGGATACTGGCGGCAATTCGTAGACGGATTATCGCGCGAAACGTCGATGAATACGCTTTGGAACGCGGCGCGAAGGATGCGTAACCGGTCTTCAAACAACGAGAGCGAGGAGTACTCGGATCGTTGGATTCTTATGTTCGCGCGAAAAGTGTGTCCTGATTCCGTGCCGGCACTGATGATTCCTCGCGAAACGACGAAATCGGTAGACGAGATCAGCCAGCTCTCAATCGCGCTCCTTTCGTGTCGCAATTCGACTCCGGGGGCTGATAGGATCAAGTTCAACTTGTTGAAGAACCTAACCTACCCTAGACGTCGCTAAGAGGCGCATGTTGAACTTGTTTGGTCAGTTCCTGGAGCTCAATATGGTCCGGGATAATTGTAGGCGGGTGAGAGTTAAAGCCATTAAAAAACCTGGCAAACCCGCGTCAGATTACAGCTCGTACCGACCCATCGCGATGTTGTCGTGCATTCGAAAATTGTTAGAGTAAATGATCCTTTTTCGCTCGGACAAATGGGTTGAGATAAACCACCTACTTTCAGATATTCAGTTTAGTTTCCGTAGGGGCAAGGGAACGAACTACTGTCTCGCGTTTCTTTCCACAGAAATTCAGTTGGCTTTTGCAAATGGCTTCTGTGTTCTTGGATATTAAGAGGGCTTTTGATTCAGTATCGGTTGAAGTCTTTTCAGACAACCTCCACGCTTGTGGCCTTTCTCCATTAATTAATAACTTTTTGTACAATTTGCTGTCAGAGAAACATATGAGCTTT